GTGCCAGCCGGGATTCTGGAGGCCAGGCCCTGACGGGCGGATTCTCCCTCAGTGACTCTGGCAACCTTGTGCAAGTTCCCTGACTCTTCAGTGTCCAAACTGGAAAAGGGCCACTGCAGGGATACAGGGGTAAACAGGGAAGGGCTTAGTAGCATACAGCGGGCACACAAGTGTGCGGTGCCGTATGCCCAGCCCCACGAACTCATCAGAGGGAGAGTCTCTAAAGTGCCGATATCCCTCTTGAAGGCTGAGGCTTGAGCCTGTGGCCCTGAATCCTAGGGAAGTGCCACGAAGGGAGGACACTGGGGTTCTCTGCATTCATTTACAAACGTGCTTAAGAGTGCGCAGAAGACTCTCAGATGTAGAATGTTTTTGGGGGGGCAGCTTCAGGCTTGTGGGTCTGCAGTACAGCCTGTCCTGTGGCCAGGTCTGGTATAGATCTCAGGGAAACAAGGCATGGCCAGCATGTCTCTGGTACGGCCCCGTTTGGCTGGGTAGGGTCTGCAGGCGTGAGTCTCCGAATCTACCTGTCCACCCATGCCCGGAGCAGACCGCACTGCCTCCATATTCACCTCGATGACCAATATGCCTGCCCACCCCACCCACCACTGCTAGCACAACTTAGCCCTGTTCATGCCTGTCTTCCTTATCTTTCCTTTCCTCCTGCTCTGTCCCTTCCAAAGGCTCCAGTGTGCCCTAGAATGAGAGTTGTGGTGAACAGTGTCCCTATCCCTAAAAGTCCCTAGCTACAAGGAAATGCACACCCTGTCACAGACATAGACAACAAGAGCGTCAAAGGGCCCTGGGAGGCAGGTGAAGTAGGGCACAGCTGTTCCGGAGGCTGGGGCCAGCCCATCACTGGAGCCTGTGGGTTTGAGGCAAACCTTGACAACAGAGCAGAGAGCCATCTCAGACTAAATAAAAAGGGAAAGGGGCTGAGGCTAGCCTTGGGTACATGCAGCTCCTGAACCACCCCCACCCTACCCTGTGAGCTTGTGTTGCTTCCTGTAATTGTGGGAACACTCTGTGACCTCCAGCCCATGCCAAGGCTGACCCACAGCAGGTGTCTAGTGAGGCACCAAGCACAGCCTGGAGGAACTGTTCCCTGCACGAGAGCGGGTGAATCTTGGTGTCACAGCTCCTCGGCCACCAGGGGTGGTCAGGATGCTGCTGCTCGTGACAGCTCCACTGTAGTCAGTAAAGTGACTGGTGGTTATGATGGCTCCATTGTTTGCCCCTCCGTTGAGAAAAACCAACCTTCAGAATCCCTCAGGCTTTTGTCCCAGCTTAAAGTAGAGGAATTCACAGTCAGTCTTGTTTTAGATTGAAAAAAAAAAAAAAAAAAAAAAGCACATGGCCCCCAACCTAGGGTCGGAAGACACCAGGCTTGTGAACAGCTGGATGAATGAGTAAGTGGGGAGAGGGGAGGGTCACCGCTCTTCACATCTGCGACCTTCACAGGCCCTTCTGGATCCACCCAGCATTGGTTAGACTGAAGGAAAAAGGGAAACTCACCCAGGAGGCCCTATCTTCTTGGAGCATAAAGTTGACATACTTAAAGGATAGAAAGGGCAGAGGAAGAGGAAGAAAGTCCAAGGTGTTAGGCTCTGGGTGGCCAGGCGTGGGGCTAGCCTAGTGCCACAGAGGCTGGGCTGAGTCTACAGCGGCCCTTGGCCTGAGGGCCAGAAGAGGTGTTGTTAGCCCTTGGGCCAGAGGTTGAGCAGAGGGGCATGTAGGCTGTCAGGGCATCAAAGCCAGCACCAGGAAGTGTTAAGCAGGACTAGCCAGATTCCAACAGCCCCAGGGTCCCCTCCCATCCAGTGCAGCCTTGCCAGGAGTTCTGGGGACCAGAAGGAATTAACTGGCTACATGTCACCCCCCCAAGGGCAGATTTTACCCTTGGATGCTTCAAAGCATTTTCCCTGAGGGCTGAGACTAATAGTCAAAGGTCCTAGAGAGGCAGAAGTGACAGGGGAGGCCCCAGGGGATCTGAAGCCAAGAACCTAACACTCCTCATCCAGCCTGGGCCTGATCCATGAGCCTCAGGCCAGGGTTTATGCTGGCGCCTGGGAAGTCAGGCTACTTGGAAGGGTTGAGCTGTGTGGCCTTGTTTCTGGGCCAGAAGCCCAGACTGACCTTGGCCTAGCCCTCTCATATATCTAATCAAAACCAGTCTGTGCTTTGGGTGGGTGGGTAGGGGGAGTCCAGAGATCCGGAGGGGAATTAGCCGGCTAGGTAACACCAGGAATCTAATTTGCCCAAGCCTCTGGATTCATCTGCTCTCCCCGGAGCCGCAGAATCAGAGGTCACGTGGGGGAGGCAAAGCGCTCCACGCTAGCACTTCCGGGCAGGCTCTGATTTTGAGCCGAGACACTCAACACCGTGGCTGACGCCGTAGTGGGCACTTGTGGCAGCGCCACGGACTGTGCCTGTCTAGGAGGTAGGTAGACCGTGTCCCGTCTCCTCCCAGGTACTGTGCACGGTTAGCCACGTCCTGGGCTCACCTTGTCCCCTTTGTACTTTCCTCTGGCTCGGAAACCCGGACGGTGCTGCTGTTTTGCCCTGCGAAGATGGCTTCAAGAAGTTCCCTGTGAGCTTTCTGGATTGGCTTCCTGGCTCAGATTTAAAAACCCGGAGATCCCACTAAGAGATTCCCGATAAGAAAAGAGACCTTCTTTTATCTACAAGCTAGCCGACACAGTCCGGGGTGTGTGGTGTGTGTAAGTGCACACCTGCATTTCAGCCAAATCTGCATTCCTGCTTCTGTAAAAGTCCAGGGGAGCTTTTTGGTGGGATGGACTATGTGTCCAAGGCCATACCCATACCCGCCAGTCTCTAGTGTTACGTTCTCCTTCAGACTTCCACACAGCTCTTTTTTTTTTTTTTTTTTTTCTTCCTTCCCAAGACAGGGTTGCTCAGTGTAACAAGCTCTGGCTGACCTCAAACTCACACAGATCCGCCTGCCTCTGCCTCCCGAGTGCTGGGTTTAAAGGCGTGTGTCACCGTGCCTGGCCACAGAGCTCTCTCAGTCCGGCAGCGGCTTCCACGCAGAGGCCTTCAGCTCTGGCCACTGTCCCACCACCTTCATCCTCTGCTTCCCTAGCCTCACTTCCTCCCCTGTCGGGGGAGTCTCACCCAGCCTGCTGTGAGCGGTCTGTGGTGGTGTTCAGGCCCGTGCCCTGGCAGCAGTTCTCCGACCTCCCCGGGCTGTTACCTCTCTCTCCAAACCCATCTCCAGTGTCTAAGACCTTAATCTGTGACCTCCCGGCCTAGCAGATGTGGAGAAGGCAGAATGGGCTGGCCACAGCTGCCCTTCTGCATCCTGCCATCCGTCTGTCCTTGCTTGTGCTCTCAGCTAGGAGCATGACTTCACCACAGCCCACCCGAGGCTCTCTGCAGAGGCAGGGACCGAGTGCTGGTGGAGAAAAAAGGGCCTGGAGTGTGACCCCAAGCTGTTCTGAGAAATCTCCCCTCCCTAGCATAGACAGGACCCAGGGAGGGCCTGTCACCTGCACTTTCCTTTCTGCTTTTTATGATCCCTGTGTACTCAGGTATGTACTCATTTATGTCACTTGCCTCCATCTTGGACAGCTCTGTCCAGTGTCATCATACCTAGGCAGTCATCAGGGGCAAGATGAGCCCTCTATCTGCCTGAGGCCACCTGGGTAGTGGCTCTGATGCCTAGAGCGAACATCCAGGGAAACACCAATTTTGGCCTTCATGCACTTCTGGGGACGCTGTAGTGCTAGCTGTTAGCGTACCAAACCTGTCTGTGAAGAAATTGCCGAAACAAACCCAGATGATCTGCTAGAATACTTCCAGTTTACTGCCCCAACATATTTAAAAAAAAAAAAAAATTCCCCCCTCCAGGAATCATTTTCTAGCAGTAACCACGTACTGTTTCCACTTCTCAACCTCTGGTAGCCCCGCCAAACACCAGCAGGTCATACCAGGTTCTCCTTCTAGCTTCAGACACCCCGCTGGCCCAGATCCATGGCCGCTGTCTTCTGGATGAGAAAGCTGAGGCTCTAAGCATACAGGGAGCTTGGTGAAGAGTAGCCCCAGAAAGGGGTGGAGGCGCTGGGTTCACATCTGCGCCCTGCTGAGCTGAGCCAGGCAGAGCACAAGCCTTCTGTACCCCTTGATTTGGTCTCAAACCTTCCTTGTCTAAGGTCAGTCTTGGAGGAGGGACAGTGGGCTGCTCTTTCTAACATCGCCAGCATTGACTCTTCAGGACAGCCTGGCCCCAGAAGCCTTGGGTCTTAGCATTGTCCTGCCAGGCCTCTCTGCAGCAGTACACAGCTCTGTCTTGGGATCGGCAGCTTGCTGAGCAACTGATGATGCCTTTGCTATTGCTGTCTGCTTGACCCAGGTTCCATAGCTGTGTTGGCGTCTGACCAGCTCTACCCCACCACACAGCCCCGCTGTCATAGGCCTAAACTTCAACCAGCTTCCATACTGGACCCCCAGTGCCCTGACACCAAGTGCCTTCCCCTGCTGGGCTTGGCTGGTGACTAGCTCAGTCCCCGGTACACCCAGCCTCAGCCTGCTCAGCCACCCCATCCCACCTGGCCTCCAGAGGCAGCAATGATAAGGTCCCTCGGCAGGCTGGTGACCCAGGACCACACAGCAGCGGTGCTAAAGGCTTATGGAGTCCTAAGGTGACACCAGTCCTTTTTGAAAGGAGTCTGGAGAACATGGAGAACTTCCTGTCCACAGCTAGTCTCCAACAAAGAGGAAGGTCACATTTGCTACCTGTGGCCCTACCGCGCGCACACACAGGAGAAATACCGTCAGCTGGGAGAGGGAAGGAGCTAGAAAGACTTCTATAAAGAATCAACACCGGTAGCACAAAATAGCCACAAGAGGTCACTACCCAAACCCGCCACCCTGACCCTGAGGCCCCTGGAATCCACGTGTAGAGGATCGTGTAGAGGAAACAGGGTCGCCTGTTTCCGAGGGCTTGGAAGGCATGCCTGGTTGACACAGGTTGTACTTACCATTGGAGCGGTGTATGCAGGTGTGTTGGTTGTCACTGAGAAAAAAACCGCTGTGGCACTGACACTCGTAGCTGCCCATGGCATTGACGCAGATCTGCTGGCAGCCACCGTTGTTGTCTTGACACTCATCCACATCTATGAGAAGAGGGAGAGAAGGGGAGCATGGCAGCATGTTACAAGGGTACCACACGGAGGCATTCCACGGCCCCGTGCTACGATGGTATTGTATTGGGGTACTCCACGACATGATGCTACAGTAGTACTGCAAGGGGGTACTGTAGCAAGAATTTTGGGATTTTTTTTTGTTTTTACTACTTTTAAATTTACATTTTTATTAATTACAGTTTATTCACTTTGTTTCCCAGCTGTAGCTCCCTCCCTTCTCCCTCCTCAATCCCACCCTCCCTCTCTCTTCTCCATCCAAGCCCCTCCCCCAGTCCACTGTTAGGGGAGGTCTTCCTCCCCTTCTTTCTGATCCTAGTCTATCAGGTATCATCAGGATTGGCTGCATTGTCTTCCTCTGGTAAGGCTGCTTCCCCCTCAGGGGGAGGTGATCAAAGAGCCAGCCAATCAGTTCATGTCAGAGACAGTCCCTGTTCCCATTACTAAAGAACCCACTTGGACCCTGAGCTACCATGGGCTACATCTGTGTAGGGGTTCTAGGTTATCTCCATGAATGGTTCTTGGTTGGAGTATCAGTCTCAGAAAAGACCCCTGTGTCCAGATTTTTTGGTTTTGTTGCTCTCCTTGTGGAGCTCCTGTCCTCTCCAGGTATTACCCACTTCTTTTGTAAGATTCCCTGTTAAAAAGCATAGAAATATTATAAGAATATTTTTTTGTTTTAATCCCAGGTGTAGGGCTATAGAGCTGCTTCACATCAGGTGACTATGGTGACTATGATTTACCTCATGCTCTAGCAGGGGCATGATTTTGTCAGCTGTAGATAGTTTCTGGACTGTGTGATGTTTGGAATTCTGAAGTCTTTTCAGAGAGCCCATAAATGCTAAAGCCCCGATGAGTGAGTTGTTGGTTGGTTGTGGTTTGATAAGTAGTTGTGCATGGAGAAGGAGGAAGAGGAGGAGGACGAGGAGGAGGAGAAGGAGAGGGCTAGAGAGATAGTCCAGTGGTTAAGAGCAGTGGCTGCTCTTCCAGAGGACCGGGGTCTAATTCCCAGCACCCACATGGCAGTTCACAAGTATAAGTCCTGTTCCAACGGATTTGACACCCTCACACAAACATACATGTGATCAAAACACTAATGTACATAAAATAAAAATAAGTTATTTTGAAGAAGAGGAAGAAGAAAAATAAGAAGAAGAAGAAGAAGAAGAAGAAGAAGAAGAAGAAGAAGAAGACGAAGAAGAGAAAGAAGAAGAAGAAATTAGGTTTTTCTGAAAGCGAAGATCAAACTTGCCCCCAGTAGCTCGATGCCCCTAATTAGCAGGAAGTAGTCTAAAGATAATGTTGCCCCCTTTCCTCTCTATCCCTTTTTTCTTTCCTATCTAGTGTTAGGGGGTTAAAGGGGAGAAGAAAGGGGGTGGAGAACCGTGGAAGAAAGAAGAACCCACAAAGGAGCAAAGACCACTTACAGGGTACTACGGCATGATGCTATGATAGGTAGCACCGCGTGGTACCATGTTATAATGGTAGTGCACCGGGCATTCCATGGCACCCTGCTACAATAGTATTGTATTTGGTACATGGCATGATGCTATGATGGTACTCTATTGGGGTGGTCCATGCAGCATGCTCTAATACTGCATTGGGTACATCATACTATGATGGTACCGAACAGGAACACGTGGGCTGCTACATGGGGGCACTCCAGAGACGGTTCGTAGCTCTCCGTGGGTGTGCTGCCTGGCATGGTGATCCCTCACAACGGAACCATAGAAGCAGTTGGTTGCAAGAGCTAGAGGGTTGTGCCTGCTCCCTGGGTGCCTAAATAGCTCGAAGCATCTTGTGAACCCTCGTCCTTGCACCAACCCTATTAGATTCAGCTCTTATCCCATTTGCAGACGAGGAGTCTGAATCTGTATGCTAAGGCTACAGGGAAAGTGGCACGGGTGGACTTTAGACCCAGGAGATTGGTTCCTAAGCCTGGCCTCTGCTGTGACATCACTGGACTCCTGTCCTCAGGATGACAGTGCAGACTGAAGGGTCTCCACAGCACAAGAAACTTGGCTAACACAGGCCGCCACTACCCGCTTCTTCAACCCACCTCCGGTTTACAGCTGGCAGTGTGAGACCCTGGAGCCCTGGGGGGGAGGGGGGAGGAGGCTGGAGGCCAGGGCGGCCTCCGCCACCCTGAAGGTCTCAGCTTGGCAGATTGATTTCAAAAGCCTGGAGGGTGGGGGAAGATTTGAAAAGACCCTGACCTCTGGCTGCCAGGTCTGCCGGGGAAGGCTGCCAAGAGGTCTTTCCCAGTCTGCGGGAGGCAATCGGCTAGGGCCGACACTCACTTCTGACCAGAGGCTGCGGGCACAAAGGGTGTGACTGGCTGAAAGGGCCTTTATGGAGCTCTGGTCCTGAGTGGAACAGCATGTTTCAATTACCAGAGTCATAACCCCCTACTCTGTCGGTTTGTTTAATGAAAGAAGGGCTTCTTAAACCTTAATGTTCCATGGCTGTATTGTCATTTTAATAGGCAAATACAGAAAACCACAAAGCAATATGAATGTGGAGCTACTGGCTGTGTCCAGCCAATCCACAGCGCACGCACACACACACTTCCTTTTCATGCCTACGCACACATACACACTTTGGCACTGAAAATTTCCTATTCTCCTTAACACAGACCTCTTTTGCTATTGAGAGGATGTGAGGAGGTAGAGGCAGGCGGTGCCCTGCGCCGAATTGGGGACAGCTTGACTCTGCAGCGCTGTCAGCTGGGTCCTATTTAGGCTCCAGGACTACAGACCACTTAGCCACCCGGGAGACCGGCGGCTGCCTTTGAGGCCCACAGCGTGGAGCATCATTATTCTCTTGGCAAGCTCAAATGTCAGCCCAGCCGTGTAGCTGTCAGAGGAGGGAAACGGAGCTCTTGGCTCTAAAAGCCACGGAAGGTCCCAGCTCACGTGTAAAGGTGGCTCTTGCTGAGAGGAGCTGCGGGATCTGAGGCTGACCTGGGAGGCCAGGGAGAGGGGGCAGGTGTCATTAGTTCTCTGAATAACCTTCTCCACAGTCTTGTTGATGGCTCCCTGCTGGCCCAGTGCTACCGGCACCTTTGCTCAGGGCACCCCAAAGTGCATGGAGCTGACACCTCTCCTCCAGGCTGCAGAAGGAGTTTCTGCCTCCAGCCTGAGGTTCTGCACAGAGCACAGTCTGGTCACCCGAGCAACAGGAAGCCAGAATCCAGAGCACTTACTGTAGCTCAAGGGGCCTCACTAGGGCCTCAGGAGCCCCTGTGATGGTGTGTGTGTGTGTTACTAACTGTATTTCATTCATGGGGCTCTGACACTCATGGAGATGAAGTGACCCAGGTGGCCTGCACAACGTGAAGGCAGAACTCCAGAGCTTTAGGGCAAGAGCCTGCAGCCCCTTTTACTAGGCTGGCTGTGCCCAAAACGCATTCAGACTGGTGGCGAAGAAACTGCTCTCTCTCCTGAGCTTGAGTCTGGAATCAACTTAAGTACACACTCTAAAGGCCTTAAGATGTGATCCGTGAGCAGTGTGGAGACTGACTCTGGGGTGAGTCCTATCTCTGACTCAACAGTACTGAGGGTAGTCACCTGGGTCTTAGCACACAGCTGACCATGAGCCCTGGCCTTGGGAGGCAGCCAAGCCCTCCGCCAGCCGTTACTGACTCGTTTCTCCTGGCTCTGGGGCTCTTGGCTTCTCCAGTCCAAGCCAAGTCCCCACCACAAGACAGACAAAGCGGATATGGAGCCTCCAATGCTGGCTTCAGGGGGCAGAAATGCTGCCTTGGTCTGGATGCTACTCACTCCGCAGCCATTTGGCTCGGCCCATCTCTGCACCTCACCGAAAGCTAGGGACCAGGGCATTTAACAGAAGGCATCCACAGGCCCTCAGTGATCTGGCAGGGTTGGCTGTGCTGTCAGGACAGGGCTGTTTATACTAGCGGGGAACAATGACTCGCCAACACTGATGAATAATTTGAAACAAATGCAAGGCCATGTAAACATGTCTTTCCCTTGCTCCCAATGATAAAACCCCAAGATTAAGCAGGCGGGAAGAGAGAGCTGTCCCTCTGTACCCTTCTCCAGTGGGTCCAAACAGAGCCCCATGTCTTCCCCAAGTAGGGCAGAAAGGCCTGGGGATGCTGCATCCCTACATACACAGCCTGAGGTCACACTCATGACTTGTTAGTATTAGCCCAGCACCCTCGTGACTTGCCACCCCTCCCTGGCTCCTCTTTTTTTTTTTTTAATTATAGAAAAAGGGAGAAATGTTAATTCATAAGTCGATGCACTAGCCCACTCCTAAGTGGCTTAGCCACCTGTGATGTCATCATTGGTCACCGCTCACAGGGGCCCAGGATAAAAGGACTCCTGCCTCTTACCTCTCTCTCTTGCTCTCTCTGCTCTCTTGCTGTCTCCCTTTTCTCTGTTGGGGTGCCCCCATCTCTCTCCTCTCTCCCCTCATGGCTCACTCAGGCCCTAACTCTCTTCTGCTTCCCTTCCCCCAAATAAACTCTTTATTATAAGATTGGTTGTGTGCATGGCATTTTTAGATAAATACTAACAATGACCTCTTCCACAGACATGGCACATCTCAGGCTCTCAGACAGGATTCATGGGGGCTGGGGAATGATTACCCGGTGTAGTTGGCATCATGGGAAGTCTGCCTACCACCTAAGAGAGATAGGGTTCACCTGGCAGAGTCCCACAGAGAAACAGCCCCTTGGCTGTCCTTTGGCGTGTGCCGGCCCACTGTGACCCGGCACGGGGTGCATTCTACTATGAGAGGCTCCTTCAGGGCCAGAAGGGAGTCCACACCAGGAATTGGGCGTCCCTGAGAGCGGCTCTGTCTTTCTCTCAGTGCATGGGCTGTGCTGGGCCTTGTCCCCAGGGAGTGCCAGGACTGCAGACTGTTCTTCCGGGAAGAAGCCTGTTGGAGCACTAGGGTGCAAGCAGGCCTTTTCTTCTTTCTGTGGAATCATGGTTGTTCTCCCT